CTTGAATAATCAGAAGACGGTAAACAAAGCTGATTAATGTGACTGTAGACAACATCACTCCTCACTGCCTGGTGGTGGTTCAGTCCCAAGCGTCGCAACGTGTTCGTTCCCCTCTAGTGGCAGCCAACACTTGTTGATTCACAGCGAAACTACACACACACACACACTCACTCACACCGCGCCGCCTTGCTCCTAGTCTCTCTATTACGAGGAAAGTAATCGCACGCTACATATTTTCACTATAGCACTTTAACTTCTATCTACTATTCCTCTTTTGAGTTATGGAATAGTTTGCTGACACTTTAAACAGTCCATAATTTCTTGTTGCGAGCGACGATTTATTAACACGTATACCTCCCACCCTCGCCTGCACGACAGTTTGGCGACCACTGTCAGGCTCCAGTGTACGATACTCTCGGGGTTCTGGCCACGAGTAACGAAGTCTGAAAAAAAAGATAAAAAAAACATCAGTGCCGAAATGTGTTAAATCAACTGGGGTTTTTTTACAGGTACTGTGTATCTTGTCAATAGTTTAGGGAAAAAATACATGTTTATTTATAGTAGTCGCCCGCGCAGGAACTTCGTACGTCTGGCATATGTTCCTGGGACGCGGTATCTATGGCAACTGGAATAAAATCGCCTCACACCGAGTTAAGGTTATAAAAGTTTAATGAGAGTTAATATCATGGTGGAATTATAGTCTTATGCTTTCAGACGCAGGGCGATGCTTTTATGGCGGATCTATAAAACCGTGATGCATAGTTAAGCATATGTCCCGACGCCTCCACTTATTAAAAAAAAATCGTAGACGACCTGGAAAAGTTCGGATTTCATTTCAGGGATTTGGGCGAGCGAGTAAAGAAAGATGTTTTGATGATATGTAAATACCTCATCCGTGTTCCATAGTCCAGATTTTATATTGATCGTAAGTTAATTGTTTATCAGCTTCCATAATCCACATTCTGAATAATTATTTTCTTTTATATTTTCGTAAATTAAATTCTAAATCAGCATTCCTTTATCCTGTTTTATATTGATCGTACGTTTATTTTAACCAACATTTCCCTAATCCAAATTCAGAATTGATCGTAAGGTTAATTCATTAGCAGTATTCCATAAGTTAAATTTATAGCATTAACAGTTAAAAGGGTAAAATTAACCCAGTCAGTTTTGTGTCCAAAGAAAGAACAAAGTAATTTACGATCTACAAAGACTTTAAGCCATAGATTGTATTGGTAGAGGGTACAAAAATGACCTTAAATAAGATACGATAATAAAAGTGACTTACGACCTTCTGAGAGTAAACAAGATAAGAGAAAAAGGATAACTTACGATCTTCTGAGAGTAAACACAGAGTTGTATTGGCAGAAGATCCCAGAAAGACCTTAAATAAGATACAATGGAAGAGTGTGGGAGCTTCGTCAACAGGTCACCCCCCCTCCCCCTCCCACCTTCATAATGTAAGGTGGACTGGTCTCATCTGCCCTCTTACGCTTGTTTATTTCGCCTCCTCTCCCTTCCGCCTCCTCTTCCTTCCGCCTCCTGTCCCTTCCGCCTCCTTCCGCCTCCCCCTTCTTCCACCTCACTTCTGCTTCCACCTCTTCCTCCTGTTTCTTCCTACCTTCTGCCTTCTTCTTCTCTCCCCGTCTTCTCCTCCTTCCTCATTCTCCTCCCGTCTACTCCCCTTCTCCCTCCGTCTCTTCCATCGCCCTTCCGTCTTCATGTGCAGCTCGAAGCGCATGCCCCTAGGATATGAGTTCCGAGAGAGGAGGGGAGGGGGGGTAGGGAGGGGCTGATGGGCGGGGGGGTAGGGATGGGCTGATGGGCGGGGGGGAAGGGGGGACTACTAAGTGGTCGTTCTGTTTGTTTGTTTTTATCTTTATTAACTTAATTACCATAATATACCATAACTGAACCTAACCTAACCTAATTCCTACAGGTAACGTTATGGTGTTTAATTATCAGATCAAATAGGGTAGGGTGTCTTATCTTCAGGTGATCCATTCTTTTTCTTCTTCGTCTTCTTCTTCGTCTTCTCAGGTCAATAAATCCATAAACTACTCATTACTACAGAACTTCCATCAGTAATGTCGTAAAGGAATTATATTTATTCATTTTAACACAGGCATCGAGCTATAGAAAATGAAATAATAAAAATTTAACTTCCAATGTGTAATTTTATTCATTTATTCATTCGACTTTATTGAAGAGAGATTGAGTTACTCGATATTGGTAGTAATTCGCATTTCAGGAGTATTTTAATGTTTATAATTGATAATAAAAATTGTTGTATCATACCTTAGTGAATATCTTGGTGTTACTTACGATAAGAATTAATATTTAAATGTTTTTGGTTGAGATCAATATATGGAGTCCCGGAGAAATGTCCCTGCCTGCCTGCCTGCCTCCCTCCTTCCGTCCATGTGCTAAGTTAGGTTAGGTTAGGTTAGTAAAGAGAACCAACATCACCACATTGTCGTCCTATTCCAATAACAAATAAAACAATAAATCTGTTATTACCTCTCACCTGTAAATCTGTTATTACCTCTCACCTGTAAATCTGTTATTACCTCTCACCTGTAAATCTGTTATTACCTCTCACCTGTAAGTCTGTTATTACCTCTCACCTGTAAATCTGTTATTACCTCTCACCTGTAAATCTGTTATTACCTCTCACCTGTAAATCTGTTATTACCTCTCACCTGTTTTATTATACTTTTCTTCATCCTCTTCGCCACTAATCGGCTTCTTGGTCACTTGGGGGATCGACCAAATCTTTGTTGTGTTATTTAAAGGGAAGTAGCCCACCCGGTGAATGGTCACTTACTCACCTCGGGATGAATCAATAAGTCAAATAATTATGTAGAATTTATTGGTTAAAGTCTACAGTATATACCAAGAGTAATTCAATAGGAGTTTATTAAAATTTATTTCTTGATAGGAATTAAGAGTTGAGTAATATTTGTAAGGAAAACCCAAACCTAACCTAACCTGTTACTGTATTTTAAGTTAATTTATATTAGAGTGTAAATATTAAGTCAACTGAAAATACAGGGGAAATACAAGAGTTCCGGTACTGTATATTTATTTTTGTATTATTTATTTGTATTATGGTGGTGGCCAGATGTACCGTGGCCAGATGGTGGTGGCCAGATGTACCGTGGCCAGATGGTGGTGGCCAGATGTACCGTGGCCAGATGTACCGTGGCCAGATGGTGGTGGCCAGATGTACCGTGGCCAGAATCATCCATCCCCCTTTAGTGAAGGTGACATTGCAGTAATGATTCCATTCTATCGTTTGATCATTTTTCATTTATCCTCGAGAGCACAAGAGCACCCGTGGGAGCTGACCTGACCTGACCTAACCTAACCATGGGAGCTGACCTAACCTAAACACCTCGGTAGCTAACCTAACCTAATCTAACCTCTAATTTGTGGGCCTTCCTCCCTCCCTCGTGGTAAGTTATTATATATATATATATATATATATATATATATATATATATATATATATATTTCATTAGCCCAATAGCACGCGGACTTCTACATACAATCAACACCTCAACCCGCCAGGATTCGAACCCACGGCCCACTAGCCCATGACTGTGACCGGGAAACGCTAACCGCTGGACCACCAGGATACGAAAAGCAGTCTTAGACTTTGTTATATTTCTCACAAAGCCTGTTCAACGAGCTTATAGCGCCGTGAACCTCTAATGGGGACTACCCGTATCACATAGGTGGTCAGAGTAACGTTTTACCAAATCCAGCTTCGAAACACAGTCATGGGCTAGTGGGCCGTGGGTTCGAATCCTGGCGGGTTGAGGTGTTGATTGTATGTCGAAGTCCGCGTGCTATTGGGCTAATGAAATATATATGGATATATATATATATATATACTGTCAATGAATATGATGCATCTCTTTGTGTACGAACCTCTGTCCTGCATGGCAGTGAACAGTGACATTACCCATATGAATCTGACCTCTATACATTTATAGCTGTTAATGAATATGATGTATTTCTTTGTGTATGAACCTCTGTCCTGCGTGGCAGTGAGAAGTGATACCACCCTCAAGACCTGACTGAATTACTCACAATAGGCAAACTGTACTCCAAGCTTTGACACTAAATTTGTTAAACTAAAAACTCACTATCAACACGTCCAATAAAACACAATGTTTGAATTAATGTTGTTTAATGAACACAAAGAAATATAAATACACATATACAGTTACAAATGTAAAGTACTCAGTAACAAATGTAAAGTACTCAGTATAGATGTAAACAGGGAAACCAGATACCAGATGAACAACGATGCCATAGAGAAATCCGACTGCGAGAGAGATTTAGGAGTAATGATAAGTAGGAACCTTAAGCCAAGTAAACAATGTGTTTTTGCTCGTAACAAGGCTAATAAAGTACTTAGGTTCATACAAAGGAGTGTTAGTTACAAGACTAGCGAGGTCATCCTAAAACTGTATCTTGCTCTTGTGAGACCACACCTGGATTACGCAGTTCAGTTCTGGTCACCGTATTACAGAATGGATATAGAATCCTTGGAAAGAATTCAGAGGAGAATGACAAGACTAATCCCGGGCATTAGGAACCTTGAGTATAGAGACAGGTTAAAGCATCTTAATTTGCACTCCCTCGAGAGACGTAGAGCGAGGGGCGACCTGATAGAGGTGTATAAGTGGAAGGCAGGGCTAAACAAAGGGGACATTACAAAGGTACTCAAACTATCCAACCAGGAGCGAACTCGTAACAATAGTTTTTTACATTAGACAAATTTAGATTTCGGCGTGAAATAGGTTAACACTGGTTTGGAAACAGAGTAGTGGATGAATGGAACAAGTTACCAAATATCTTCATTAACTCGAATACGCTGAATAGCTTCAAACATAGGTTGAATGCTTATATGAACAAAAGGGGTTGGGTGTAAACGGGACTGCCCAGTATGGGCCAATAGGCCCCCTGCAGTTTCCTCCATTCTTATGTTTTTATGTTCTTATACGTATACAATATATGTAAAAATCAATACTTTATTTGTTAATTACATCAACTAGTCGAGAAAGCATCGCATCGTATCGCTATTAGTCCCGGGTACGAGTGAATATTTGTAGGTTGAAATTCTGCAGTGAATAAAGAAAGAGTGAATAGGAGTATAAATAAAGATAAATGACGTGACAGTGAAGGAGACACGAATAACAGGATTATGACTTGAATTTTAATTAAGAATATCAACAGCGTAACAAAGACAATAACAAAAACACCATCTAACTGGTTAACACATAAGAATAAACACACACACACACACACACACACACACACACACACACACACACACACACACACACACACACACACTTCACAGTCACT